ATTTGCACATCAGCAGAAAATTCCGAATTCTTTATTTTTTTTGGGAATTTCCGCACTTTTACATTTACATTTTGGTCATATCTTGAATATAGAGATGAGCAGTTTGTCAGCGCAATTCCTCATAAACCGCTGTACACAATTTCGTCAAACTTTGTAGCTATTTAGGACAAAATGTGTATAGCTGAGCATATTACATGGAAATTACGATTCCTTTATTTTTTTTCTGGGAATTTCAGCACTTCGACTTTTGGGGGAGCGTGGGGTATGTGAACTTGCTCACTTTTTTTCTTTCATTGTGCATAAAATTATAAATAACTTTAAATCAAATTATATTAGGTCTAATAAAGCCTATACACAGTATTTATTTGATAATAATTAATCTGTTTCAGACGTTTTTCTTAAATTATTTTTATGAGAGTGTTAATATGCATGTTTTATTACCCCCCCCCCCCCTCCTATGTGCGAATGATTCGTAATAATGCATTCTTTATTCTAAATTTAATGAAGTTAAACCATGTAATCATAATTTTTATTTACTACATTTACAAACAAGAGTAATGTTTATTTTTGAAAAAAAATTTCAATCAACCCCACTGAGCTTTCAACCTTTGATATTTTCCCTGACCAAATAAAATGATCGGCATGGGCCACGTGTGTCCAAGCATCTTTTACTATTGAGTTAGCAATGGATTACATGACTTCTGAGATGCATTTTTCAATAAAAGTAAAAAAGGATAATTCTTTCGACATGTGCACATCCCTGTAACGATAGCAGTATTCACGTAAATGTATTATCACTGCGTTTGACGCGTTTCCTCGACCTGCATGGATTTTTGCTGTACATAAATGTATTCCGTGTTAGTGTACTTTTTATATTGTAGCAAATGCTTTCAAAAATAATTTAATTCTCGTTATAGTTCTATTTTTTGTTTAATTTTTACTTTTCAAACATGTATTGGTCAGTTTACGGACTTCTAAAAACTATGCTATCGGAGATGTGTACATGTCGACAACCAGACTAGAAAATCACTCAGGTGAAACAATTCGTCAAGGCTATATATAGCAGGTACAGGTGGCCAAAAACCTTCGATTAAATATGGCGGAATCGAAGAAATATGTCGGACAAGGGCGTACAGGAATGTAGTAAGTCGTACAAAGATGAAAACTGATGCCTTTTTAAGAGTTCATGTCAGCTTTAAGCAATGAGAATGTATTTGCGAATTGACAGGCAGTAAACACGTAGCGCCAAGAATGCCACGCCAAACTAAGCTGGAAATGGTTCTACGATTATTGTGTACATGTAATATGTATGCATAAACCATTCCCAATAAATTATTAGACTTAATCTTAAAATTAAGATATCATTGAATGTTATTGAGAATATAACTTGGTTTCCTTGAAAGCTTGTCAGTGAAAGGGATAAAGTAATATTTTATAGTTCCACTATCCCGCCGCATGAACATGCATTTATGGTTCAAAATTGCCAAAAATTGTCATTTTTAAATTCATTAAAACATAATTTCCATTCATCCACGACTTCTCAGATTTCTAAAAAGGTGCATGGGTAGAATCGAATGGAACAACTCCCACCCCCACCCCTTCCGAAGACATAGGCCTATTGAAAATGTTCATTGAAAGATCGGTTGTCCCCTTTTTTGTTGCAGAAAAGTAAAATTGTCCCATGAAATGTTCACCACCATCACTTTCAAAACAGATACAACAGGCATAGTCGTAGGAACGGGGGGGGGGGGGATAATTCATCTCATATAAAACAAATACAATACAGCAGTATATACACTACAGAAAACATGCAGACAGTAATATACTATAGAAAACATTGCTACTTTACACTTGTAGTATATTACATGCGGCAGTAATAGCGAGCGCAGCGAGCGTCGCGAAGCGAGCTCAATATAGACTAACTTGTAAGAACAGAGGAAATTCGGAATGAAATCTGTACATAGTATTACGTATTACGTTAGTCAAATTTTTCTGTGAAACATTAATTCCAAGAATTTTTTTACTGCCCAATGTCCTTTGCGCGAATAAATAAATAAATAAATAACGTAAAGCATAAAAGGCTTTCAGTTTATAGAAATCTTTCAAATAAACAAAAAATAACTGCAATGTTTTTCCTACTGAAAGGAAAATAAAGAAACGTAGGGTACACTGTAGCATATTCAATAATTTTTTGACCACAAGACCAATCAAAGTACTCAGAAGTACTAAAAGCCGGGCTCATTTTCAGGGTAATGAACAAAGACCGTGGTGACAGTTTAAGGATACTTGGACACGGATTTGAAGTTAATTTTTTCTGTATTATAAATTTATAATACGAATTAATTAAAAATCTTATTTCATTAAAAAGATATTAAAATTTTAAATTTTTTGGCGGGTTTGATTGACACATCCTTGCACTTTCACAAATTTTAACTTTATTCTTTATCCTTAGAAAAATGACAATCTTGTTGTGTATTATTGGAAAATAATAAAACTTAAATCCAGAAAATAATTTTTTTATTCAGAGTAGAAATGTTAGAAAGCAAAACTCCTTCACAAGTATCGTCATTCCGTTGTGTACATGCAGAGTTTAGCAAATCGAACACACTCGTGGTATGTACACAATTTTTGTAAAACTGGCAAGAGCGTGTTATTGTTTGGTGTTTACGATTCACCGGGTGCGTTAAATTGCCAAAGTCTGCCCACCACAACTGCACGCACTGGCGGATTTAAGGGGGGGCGTGGGGGGCGCACGCCCCCCCTAAAATTTTCAAAGTATGATGTGACTTATATTTATAATGCCACATTTTGGTACAAAACTAACCAAACCACTGTTTTACTGCCTGGATTTACTCTTAAAATACACAAAAATCCAGGATCTTCCGGGGGCTGCGCCCCCTGGGCCCCCACCATTCAAAGTATGATATGACTACTATATGTATTATTAAACACGCCGTACCATGGTACATCGCTAAGCAATATACCACTATTAGTAAGTAATAAGTAATTAAATCGTTTATTATTGTGGCATGTGTAACAATACAATGAGAATTGAGAAACATTCAATACAATTATTATTCAAACATCCGGACCTATATGCCACTTTAAACAAAAATAATTCAAAAATGTGCACTATTATTGTGCCTGGTTTTACTCTAAAATACAGGAAAACCCAGGAGCTTCCGGGGGCTTCGCCCCCTGGGCCCCACCAGGGCTTTGCCCTGGACCCACTGGGGGCCTTAAGGCGGCCCCCAGACCCCTTGCCTCAACAACATTATCCACGCCCCCCCCCCCTAACCACAAATCCTGTATCCGCCCCTGGCACGGACTGACAATACATTGTGTGTTTGTTTAACATTCGAACATACCTACTCTTAATTTTCTGGATTATACAGTATTAATATTTTTCATTAATACACAACAAGATTGCCATTTTTCCTAAGGATTAAGAATAAAGTTAAAATTTGGGAAAGTGCAAGGACGTGTCAATCAAACCCGCCAAAAAAATGAAAATTTTAATGACTTATAAATGAAATAAGATTTTAAATTCATTTTTGTGTGAAATATAATTATTAAAATATATAAGTCGTAATATTATAGAGAAAAAATTAACTTCAAATCTGTGTCCAAGTACCTTTAAAATCAAGTTCAGACGTTTAGAGGATATGTTACACACAAAAATTATATCTAAATGAAATGTATAGTATTAAAAAGTTTTTAAAATTTAATAAAATATAGCTAGAAATTAATAGCGTAAAATAATTATCACATGTATCGTTTCGGGGTTTTATATACAAACAGAAGTAAATAAACACCGATGCAGCAAGATTGATTAAGGTCAAACGATTATGCACTGATGTGTCCTCGGCAGGGAGTTTTGCATCAAGCCATTAATGATGTTCCCTGCATTTGTGTTAGCCTGATAGTACAACCTTTATTTATAGAATATGACGCAGACAGGAATACTTAATGAAAACCTTTCGCACCTTTTGAATTGCTTTGTAAAATATTAGTCAAAGGAGCCAGGAAAATATTAAACAATTTAATATTTTGATAAAAACATTCGATTTACTATTCTTAATGTGTTTGAATGGATTTTGATTTTTTACAGCGGCTGGGCGTACGTACTATATATATTGTTACTCGTAAACTCAGTTTGGCGGTGGAGAAGCAGCATTTCTTGTTGCTCACCGTCGCAATAGCCGGGCATTGCTCTACGAGCAATGAGCCCGGCTAAAAATTACGAAAATTGGTCAGATGAGACATTTAGTTACTATACACCATAATCAGTGTGCAGAATTACTCAACCGTAAAATGCATGACGTCACGTAGGAAAAACGCTAATGATGAGAGATTTCGATTTTCACTTTTGTGAGGTATCGTCATACGAGCTTCAATAACTCGTGAATTATAAGACAAAATCAAAAAGGATTTTGGTTACATCTTTTTGAAAGATGATTTTAAAAGTTAGATAGAAATACTGAAAAATATTAAAAGAAAAATAAATTTAATTCCCCTCGAAAGTTTACCCTGCGTTTCTTTTTTCCTTTCAGTATATATAGGTCCCAGATTTTTCATGTGTGTTTTTGATGGTACAGTACAACTGCGCTCGCACCAAAGGTAACAGCGTAAAACATATTATACTATAGAAAACATCGCTTCTTTACACATGTGCACCCTCAATTAAAATGCCTGCATGTTGACTTTTTTTTAACTATTCAAGAATTTGGTAGTTGATACATGTATATATATAGCTGCGTACCCTGAAATGCCTGCCAAGATTAAATGCAAAATGCTCTCGGATAATGGTTATTAATGACTAACCTTAATGTGTATCTTCCAATTATTTAGATTGAAATAAATAAAAGAACAATTAAATAAAAAAGATAACCCTAAAAAATGATAACCTAATTTTGCGCACTCTTCCAATTTTTGTTAATGCGGTTTCGCAACTATATTTTCCCTCGGGAAGTCAATTAGCGCATGCGCTCTTCATTAAATTTATGACTTCCTGTTGATGTTCACCGGTACCACATCATCACTGAATTCTCTTTTTATTTGATCAAAATGCACATCATGAGGAAAGACAAGAAGGAGGAGGAAGAAGGTGACAATTTTCTAAAAGAAATATTTTATTCGATTTCAGAGCAATCGACTTCTCCAGTGTGAGAAAAGCCGTTTTGTGGCGTAATGTTACACAGGTTGGGACCAATCGCTCAAATGGGATATAATAGTCCGTTTGGGATATATCCCAGATGGGCTAATATGTTGACGGTGCGACCGTTAAAGCGAGCGCAAACTCTTCTATTTCTTTTGATTTAGATCGGGCTCGTCAAACCGCACGTGACATTTGGTGCGTCTAGACTCTGACGTCACATGACGTATGTAGATCGCAATATTCCGTGAAAAAGCCTGAACAGTGCTGAAAGTTAATGAAGAACGTTTTGTTTTCTATTTATCTTCAATATATATCCATTAAATCAAGGCAAGTAAACTTTTTGTTGAACATTTGCCGTGATTCTCGCGAGAACGTAACTTAACAAGTGTTGCATTGTGGGTCGAAATTCGGCGTCAAAAAATTCCATCAAATGAATGTGCAGTAGTCCAATTTTTCTCTTTGCACAGGCATTGCTTTAAGAGCTCGCAGTGACGAGCGTCGCTTCGCGACGCTCGCTGCGCTCGCTATAAATTTGAAGTGCAAAATTTGAAAATTTTTATTTTGGCAATAAATATCATAAATACGCATCAGAACACTTAAAAATGAATAACTTTTGGTTGACAAGTTTTTCTGCAACCCTACAGTTTGTAAGATTGATCCCCAAGAAGTTAAGGAACTTCCGAGGGATCAATCTCCTAAACAATGGGCATACATAAAAACTTGTCAAACAAAAATTATTCCTTTTTAAGTATTTTGATGCGGATTCATGAAATTTATTGCCAAAATAAAAATTTTCAATTTTTGCACTGTAAATTTATAGCCCATTTGGGATAATATATATATCCCAAACGAACTATAATATCCCACTTGGGCAATTGGTCCCAACCTGGTTAAGATCTACTAGCTTGTTTGGGATATAGTATCGGAAATGATCCTAAACTGAATTGAACTTGCAGTAAGTCAATGAGATTGGTTGCAAATATTCCTTCTTCAATTCTCGGCACTTTGAAGTGAAAGTTGCAGGTTCTTTGCATGATGCCTAAAAAAAATGAGGCCCCGTGACAGGGTAGACATTGGCAGGATTAAGAACCCTCACTGCTCAATGGCTCTGAGTGCCGAGTAAAGGTCTAAATTTGAAACCCTTACAAGCTGGTATTTGGTGATATATGGATGAAAATTCTCAAACAGGACACAAAACAACATACAACCAATCAATATATTTATTTTGCTTTTTAGGAGGAGGAAATCCATTCCACAATTTGGAGAAGACGGCAGTTCTCCAGGAGGTTAGTTCATTTGCTGAGTGATAGTGATTGTGAAATATTCATAATTAGGTTTTTGTTAGCCTTTGAAGCAAGTGAATTTTATCCATTGTTACACTGAATACATGATATGTTATTTTTTTAATGAACCTTTTTCAGGCCAGGACATTTAATGAGACCCCAATCAATGCCAGAAAGTGCTGCCATATTCTGACTAAAGTTCTCTACTTGATCAATCAGGTACTCTACTCTTCAAAATATTCAAATTTAAATCCTAGTCTTGATAAATCAGATGGGTATTATGATTTCCAATACATAATTCATTGTTTTCCCCAGGCCATTTTTGCATGGCGGTACCGCCATGCATTCATGACCTCCCGCCATGCATCACATGTTGCCACCATGCTTCCTGCTTTGCATGAATTATTAATTGTGTACCATTTGAATGTAATCAGTTACAAATCTTTCAATAAAACATATCAAATCACTAGAATCCTAGCGTGTACTGTACACTTTTTGTGCACCTGTTGTGAACTCAATGTGAATCACGGCACGGGATATGATGCAATAGGCCTAGCTGTGACTTTTTGTTTATTGCAATTTACTGGTATGTTACAAAGTATCAGGCTTTTAATTGGTTAAAAATTAATTTATAACCATCAAAAGTAATTAATTGCTTTCATATAGTATACACGGTAAAAGCAATACAGTTGTTAATGCATAGGGCTGTATCAATATATCGATATATCGATACGTATCGATATTCAAGAAAAATATCGTATTGAAAAGTAACTTCCAATACGTATCGGACAGACATTTTTTCTTCAAATTCTGTTTAAAAGATGGGAATTTCAATCACCAAAGATTATATTTTACTTTTTTGAATTAAAACCTTCAATAATTATATAATTTCTAAGGAAATAAAACAGTTTTTATAATTATTACAAAATACAAAGAGAAATTTATTTGAACATGTTGATTTTGCTGTCATCAAAAGTTTTAATTGAAGTGTTATTTTTAAAGACAATGAGACAAGAACTTTAAAATGGGTAATAAAACACTCAATTGTTATGAAATGTATGCATTAAAATGATTTAGAAGCCATTTCTGATGGACTTGTTTCAGAACCCAATATATCGCATATCACTTTTAAAAATATTGTATCGTATCGTATCGAAATTTTTGGCTCAATACACAGCCCTTTTAATGCACATGTGGGTTTTTCCAACAATCACAAGTCGTTCTATAAATAGCATTGATGCTCCGATATAAAAAATGATTCATTAGTTAAAATAATAATATTTAAGACATTTTTTGCATTAAAGTGCTGAAAATAAACATGTCTAATTAACATTGTCAGTGTTTATTTACTTTATGAACTATGGGGTGGTACTTAGTCCAAACAAATGTGCTTTTGATACACAATGACCTTCACTTGTATTCAAAAGCGGGAAAAATCAAAGACCAAATGAATGTAAATAAGTTGTCACAATATTTACTTGTAAGCATTAGTGTTACATATTAATGAGCACCCTTTTGTTTCAAGACAACTGCAAAAGGAGGGAAATTAAAAAATAAATATTAAAGGTGGAGGTCTCTACATAAGGGGTCTATTTGTAGAAAGCAAAAATAACACAATACACAAATTAAACAGTAAAAAGACAGTGGCTTTGTAGAAAATTTTAAAAGAGAAAATATTTTTTTATTTGTTCATTTTTTATTTATTTTTTTTTTTAAATCAATTGTTGAATATTTTTTAAGTAAAACTGACAATTTGTTCAAAATGTATTTATCATTTAATCATATAATGAATTTGTATTTTTTCATTTAGATTAACATATATTTGCATGTAAAATTAACTTAACCGAACACGCCGTGCGCCGTCAATTCAGCGAAATTCCCCCCTTGCATCAAAAATTTTCTGGAGAAAACACTGATAATTTTCACAAAATCAAGGTATTTGAAAAAATATGCAGTAAGGCTGATTTAAAGGCTCTTGTAGCAGAAGCACATGAGTTTTTATGTTTAGTACTGCCAAGTAATATGGTCTGTAATTATCTGGCATGTTGTTCGATAGTTAAAAATTCTTGACCCACAAATTATTTTCTTACCACATCATGCACATGTTGTGGTTCTGAAAATAAAATCTGTAGATTACACAATGTGCACAAGAAACATGAGAAAGGTTCAACGGACTTTCACTGAAGTTTTTTTTTTTCATTAATAAATAAATATTCATGAAAGTTTTGTTAGAAGAATATGCTTGTGTTATTCTTAACATATGGTAACCAACTAACCATATACTGTGTCTGTGGAAATAAATTGTTTTGTCTGTAGGATTTTTCTTTAATATTTTTTATATTTATCATATAATTATCCTCAACTACAAAGTCAGTCAGATGTAAAAATTTCAGACAATTACCATATCTCTTGAAATCAAATGAGACTGATTAACTACTAAGTTTATATTAATTTCTTTTGAAATCTTCCCTCAGGGAGAGCAGATTGGATCAACAGAAGCTACGGAGACTTTCTTTGCCATGACAAAACTTTTTCAGGCCAAGGATGTAAGTTACATGTCATAATACTTTTCATAAGAAAAAGTCATAAGAATTCCGAGACATGGGGATGTAATTTGTGAATTATTCATGAAAACAAAGTATGTAATTTCAAGTTCACTTAATCATACAGTGATAGACACTGCATTTGAGAGAGAGAGAGAGAGAGAGAGAGAGAGAGAGAGGAGAGAGAGAGAGAGAGAGAAAGAAAGAGAGAGGATTAAAATGTCTATAAAATTTTCACAAAAGAGAATTTGATGTATGATGATATGGTTCTGAACACATTTTAGCCCATTCTGCGAAGGCTGATGTACCTTGGAATAAAAGAAATGTCCAAGATTGCTCAAGATGTCATCATTGTTACTAGCAGGTAAAGTATGCAAGCATGAATTGCTATTTGCGTAAATAAGAGAAGTCATAGTATTTTGTCTTTTAACAAATCCTTTTTAGGACTTTGATCAGAATTGGCTCCTTGATATTCATAATTCTGATAAATCTCTGAATTTTAGTTTGATGAAGGACATGACAGGAAAAGATGACCAGTTTAGGGGACCAGCTATCAGAGCTCTGTGTTCCATCACTGATGTTAGTATTCCTCTTTTATTCCTGAACCCGTAAGCTCCCCCCCCCCCCCCCCCCCAAAAAAAAAAATTATCTTTTGAAGCAGGATTTGATTATTATACATGTAAATGACTGAACATCAGAAAAGCAATTTTATAAAAGTATTATAAGCATTAAAACTCTTGCCTTCTGTGCATTTACAGCAGCTTAAGTACATGTTCTGGATTTTTTTTGGGTAAAAGTTGAGTTGAGAAATATAAGATCTTGTTATGTTTTAGAACACTATGCTACAGAGTATAGAGAGATATATGAAGCAGGCCATTGTGGACAAGAACCACGCTGTGTCCAGTGCAGCTCTCGTATCCTCCCTGGTAAATATGTTCTGAAACAGAATCTTTTATTTTTGTGCAATTTCAAATAAACAAAGAACAGAATTTTGGAATACATGTATAAAAACAAATAAATAAAATGAAATTGTATGAAGTATTCTCTGTTAAAAGTTAATAGTCTCTGATTGATTTTCTGGCTACCAGGGTACTAAAAAGAGAAGTAAATTAATGAATTTAAAAAAAAACAAACAAAAAAAGGTGAATTAATGATGAAAGTTAAATTGCAGCACCTGAGTAAAGGAAGCTCCGAGGTGGTCAAGCGGTGGGTGAACGAGGCACAGGAGGCCGTGTCCAGTGATAACATAATGAATCAGGTAAATATTCTGTCATAATTACATGCATACGATTAATAGGAATAGTTTGTATACATGTGATGTTTTTTCACTCACCTCAATGAGGTTGGGGGAGCTTATTTTATACCCTAGGTGCCAGTGTCCCAGGTTAATTTTTTTTGGAGCAATTTCCTTTTTAAGGACTTCTATGCCCTATATTGATTATTGCCTGGAAGATGCTTCTAGCATGTTTCATTGTACCAGTCAAGCTTTCAGATGATGCAATGTCAGCAAAAGAATGACCATGTTAATGTTTTTGGAGCAGTGTTACATTTTTGGTGCAGTTTTTGGTGTAGGTCTCATTTCTAAGTAATTATAAGCCCTATGCTGACCAAACTTGCATGGATGATACATCTAAGGATGCACACTACCAGACTTGCTTCGCATGCTGAATCTGACCAACATTTTCAGGATGAGTGAACAGGTTAAAGTTTTTGGTGCAGGTTTCATTTTCAAGTGACTATGAGCCCTATAATGACTAAACTTGCATGGATGATACATCTAAGGGTGCATATTCTATCAGGCTGGCTTCAGATGATGAATCTGACCTACATTTTCTGGATGAGTGAAAATGGTAGTTTTTTATGCAGGTTTCATTTCCAAGTAAGTATGAGCCCTATATTGAACAAACTTGCATGAATGATACATGCATTTAAGGATGCACACTAATGGACTTGCTTCGGATGCCGAAATCGACATACGTTTTCCAGATAATGGACCAGGTAAAAGTTACGGGTGCAAGTTTAACACCAAGAAACTATAAGACCTATAAAATTAAACTTGCACAACTGATGCATCAAGGTATGAAAACTTTCAAACTTGCTTCAGATGCTGGATTTGAATTACATTATCTTGATTGGTGACTAGTTTGAAGTTTTTGGATAGGTCTATTCTAAAGTAAATGCAAGCCCTATCAGATAAAAATTGCATAAATTTTGCATTTTTGGATATACACTTGAAGAATGGTTAATAGTGTGACTTTGCCTTACTTAAAGACAGCATTTGTTGAGGTGAGCTCTGTAATCTCTGATTACCTATGTTTATCATTATCGATAACCTGTCAGAATTCTTAACTATATACGAGGGTTGTCCAAAAAGTTCGTGGACAATGACGTTTTTGTTAAAATAAATGGTTCTATATGCATCTATTGTATATCAAAATATTTCTCATGAAAAAATAAGTCAGAATGATTTAATTTTTACTGATGAAACTTAATATTTTTGTAAAAATCGGGGTCTTTAAAGATCGCAGATTGTGCGCACGGACCAGTCTGACGTTAAGCTAATTTCATTATAACGTCAAACATTTGGATTTTGACTTAACACATGTTCATGGACACACACTACATTCCTTTCTGAAGGCGCAACACACTTCGAAGTGCTAGCAATAATCTTTAAGTATAGATTATAATTCATTTAATCTTTAAAATTCAAAACAATGCACACAATTTTACGAGCGTCATCTAAATTAACAGTTTGTATACCCAAACTGAATAGCCCAGTCCGACGCTGCGCTAGATTTATAACAACGTCATGAATAGAAATCTCCATTTACAGTTAATTACATGTGTTTTTAAATTCTTGTAGTGTCTTTGAATTTGTACACACTGTTGAAAAATCATATATACGAATCCCAAATCGATACATTCAATATATTTCAATAATTTTTAGTTGTTTTAACAAATATTTTGTCTCTTACATCGTTTCAACCGTTAAAAAACTTAATTTTTTGACCGGACGCTGACCCGTGCCGACGGACGACGTCACTTTTTCTGTTGAGTTTTGACACGTACTTGCGAAGGTTTTCTTTGTGTATTTTCGTTGTCTATAAAGTAAGCGATATTTAAGATATCATAAAATGATAATAACCTCTTTATTTGTGTTACATAAAATTTTTATTAATATTTGACCTGTTTTATATAGAAAATAATCATTTCAATCCGAACTCTTTATATCAGAGTTTACATCATTTTAACATTGGTCCGTGCGCACTATCCGCGACCTCTAAAGACCCCGATTTTTATAAAATTATTACGTTCCATCAATAAAAACTAAATCATTCTGACTTGTTTTTTCATTAGAAATATTTTGATACACAACAGATTTATATAGAACCATTTATTTTCACAAAAACGTCATTGTCCACGAACTTTTTGGACAACCCTCGTATGTGTATATGATGCATTAGTTTCCTTTTACATGAAAAGCTTTACACTAGCTTGATTTTTGCCCTGTGTACGTATACCGTGGAATCATTTTAATTTGGTGGGGTAATGTTTATGAGTCAGCAGAATTTTACTTGTAAGTGGCGGCTTCATTTCTTAGGCTTCTTGGTTAAATATGGTACATTCAATGAATGGATATGTTTTAAAAAATACGTGTTTGTAACTTGTAAGGGTGACCCATGAGATCCACTCACACTAGTCCCCCACAATAAATATGATTCCACAGTTTCTATTTGTTTTATAACTTTCTGTTTATATTCAATTTTATTCTATTTATTTATTGACATCACCATGTTGGTATACAGTCAAAACAAGAAATCAACTGACATACAGCAGAAAACAAGAAAAAACATTATATACATGTAATAATTACAAGCAATACAATTTTACACCATTGTTTATCATGTTTATAGTCCCTGGATTTGTTTTCTCTGCATAAAGCATTTTATCTAAGTACTTACATAAACGTTTTGTAGTATTATAATCTTATGGGTTAACAATTTCTTGAATGGGATCAGTACCACGTACAGTACAATGTATCATCAGAAATATCACAATACATGTATTGAAATTGAAGATTGTCATACACAGGACTGTAAAGTACTTAATGTTTTTCATTTTCAACCAATAATTTACAAGCATAGCTTAAACGTTTTTCCTTCTAACGAATCTTATCTGGATATTAAATCCAGATTACTGATTGTAGAATTATCTTTCTGTTATTTGATATTAAAATTTCTCTTTATTGATGTTTCAGTACCATGCTTTGGGTCTTCTTTACCACATCAGGAAGTATGATCGTCTGGCTGTCACCAAGTTAGTCAGCAAGTTCAGCAAGCACTCTCTCAAGTCCCCGTATGCCTACTGTCTGCTGGTATGTTTGAATCACTTACTGTACCCTCATATGAAGTTCTAAAAAGAAACCTTTTTTCAACTAGAAAATTAAAAAATACAAAAGTTTCCACTAAAGTGTTATGCTACACTGTGGTATTTTGTGTGATAGTCTTTTTGTTTGTAACTTCCCCGTTTACTTATTTATTGAGATTTTGTTTCCTTTCACAGATTCGTATTGCCAGTAAACTGATGGAAGAGGAGGGAGCAGGGTGAGACAATGGTTTTCTTTTATTGCATTCACGACACCTTAAATTTATTTGAATCAATGTTGAAATTAGTTTCAATATTTAGACATGATTTGGAACTGGTTTAATCTAAAATCATGAGAGAATAGAATTGACCTAATTTTAGATTAAAACAGTTTGATAATGTTTGGTTACTTTTGTCTGAGATACAAAGTATAATTCCTAAGATTTAATTTTACAGAACTGAGAGTCCTATGTTTGACTTCATTGAGAACTGTCTTCGACACAAGAGCGAGATTGTCATCTACGAAGCTGCTCATGCTATTGTGAATTTGAAGAACACCACAGCCAAGGAGCTGGCCTCCGCTATTCCAGTTCTTCAGTTGTTCTGTAGCTCACCAAAGCCTACACTGAGGTTTGCTGCCATCAGAACTCTTAACAAGGTAAGAGCCCCCTCCCCACCCAAACCAATTTCAGGCTATACCGTTAAATTATTACATTTATTCATTTTGTTGAAAGCATAAAAGAGAAAATGAAAAAAAACCATTCATATGAAAAACGAGGGTTGTCCCAAAAAGTCGTAGACAATGTTTGTAACTTTTTAAACATGCAACCAATACTAACCAAATTTTGCATAGACATAATATAATCAATGTTCTTTATAACTGTAGATTTTTAAATATACATCTTTCATATTAATAATATTAGGACGATTTAAATGGTGGCCGATAAGGTCTGTCGGCGCACGGACAAAATTCGGAATAATTTATATAACTAGTACATTTGCTTTTATTTCTTTAGTACTATTTAAAAATTAAACGCAAATTTAAATCGGTGAAATTAGAATCAAAATCTTAATGATATGTCAAAATTTCATATAAATAGCATTTGAAACAGATGAGGGGTGTCATGATTTTCAAAGTGTTGTTTGAATTGAGTTTGATGAAAATGACGCAGTCAAACGCATAACCAGATTTTAATAGGGAATTTATTTTTAAATGGCATGAGATTCAATGAGAGTTTTTCCTCTATACCAAAAACAGTTACAGCATGTAAGAAGTAGAGTACTGTTATCAAGGTACACAGACAATGGGGTACAATCTTGGCCACAAACAACGTCAAACAATATGTTTTCTCTGCTACCTACAATGTATGGTGGTCTTTTGACTAAATTTCGACGAACATTGGAATCTGCTTGTAAAAAAACAACAACAAAACAGCGGACAGTAGTGAATTTAAATAAGTCCCTTATGCAAGAGTGGTCTTTCACTTTAAAAAAATTATTGACTTTTTTCTGCTTCACACGCGTCTGTTAACATAACAGACGTGTGTGAAGCAGAAAAAAGGATCATGATGCTTTATGAGACTTAAATTATAAATTACGCTTGCTTTCGTGTGCCGATGTACACTTACCTGCTTTCTTTATTTTTTCATAATTTTCTTTTGAAATGTAATATCATCATGAAATTTGAAATGCATGACCATAAAATGTTGCATTTTGTTATGACAAGAAAAGAAATTTAATTCAGTAAAGAGAAAATAAACCGTTTTCCCTGTCTATGACTTTTTGGGACAACCCTCGTATTTTCTTAGTGTCAAGAAAACCCATAGAATTAAACATTTATTTTTGTACAAGGGTTTGAAGGATATATGATTTATTTACACCTATATCATCAAAGTGTAGAAAAAAATTGATGTGATGTTTTAATAAGAATATGGACATGTTACTGACTGTATTTGTCTGTTGAAGGTTGCAATGAAGCACCCAGCTGCAGTGACGGCCTGTAATATGGAACTAGAAAATCTGATCACAGACTCTAACAGAAGCATTGCGACACTGGCCATCACAACACTGCTCAAGGTAGGTCACTCTTACTACCACCAGTACCACAATATCTGCCACAAGTTGTCTTTCTTATTATGTTCCCCAAACGGAGTTTGGGAACATATTGTTTTTACTCTGTTTCTTATTATGTTCCCCAAACGAAGTTGGGGAACATATTGTTTTTACTCTGTTTCTTATTATTATTATTTTTCTTCTTCTTCTTCTTCTTCTTCCTGGGTACTTTTTTGTCCGGGAGTGATCTTGTAAACTGTTCGTCCGATGTAGGTAAAACCTTTTTAGGGTCAGTAGACATGTTATGTAGATTTGCGGAATCAAGGTCATTTTGCGCGCACGTGCTTTCAAGAGCGTGCACGTGCAACACGTGAAATGACCAATATAATGGATATTGTAGTAACTTTTCTATTTTTTGATGAAATTTTTTGAAACTCATAATGTAAGGATACATTAGAAGTATAGACAAGATAGCATGGTCAAAATAGCAAGATCTCACGCGCATGCACGTGCGCTTCGCTCTGATTGGCTGAAACTAAAGTCTCAATATCTTTCTTGTTTCTTGTCATAATCCTTTGAAATTTTGAACATAGTCCTACATTATGAATATCTACAGCATGATATAAAAGAATTTTCATGAAAGCATGCGCATCTGCGCGTGCTGTAATCTGATTGGCTGAAACTTTAAATGGCTATATATATCCTTTGTTTTTTGACGAAATTCTTTGAAATTTAAAATATAGTCATGCATTAGGATAACCTACAATATGGTATAGAAAAATATTCATGAAATCACACGTATGCACGTGTGCTGCAATCTGATTGGCTGAAACTTGATATGGCTATAACTCTCTTGTTTTTCAACCAAACCGGATGGGATTTAGAACAGAGATAGATGTAAAGGACTCCTACAAGAAGGTATGGTCATCATGCACGTGCACGCACGTGCATGCATTTAGAACGAGTATAATTAAAAATACACTTGAATGAGTGATTTTTTTTCTTTTGGACTGAATGCTTTAATATATAGTATATTAAAATATATAGATAGTGTAGACAAGATGATATGGTCATAACGCACATGCATTCACGTACATGCGCTTGGTTGCAATGCTAAAATATGAATATAATTGGTATCCTTTTGGGAAAACGTTGTTAAAGTAAAAAATGCACAGAGTTTGTCTTATTTAATGAAGATTACAGGGAATATGGCACCAAAAGGGAGTTGGGGAGCGTTTGGGGAACATCTGTAACGGTTCCCGTTACAATTAGCACTAGTTATTATTATTATTATTATTTTTTTTCTTATTTGTTCTCCGGACTTTTTTGTCCGCGAGTGTTCTCAGAAACTGTTCACCCAACTGAGCTAAAACCTTTTTAGGGTTAATAGGTGTGTAGTGTAGGTGTGCGGAACGAAGGTCATTTTGCGCGCATACGCCTGCACGTGCGTGCGCGTGAAATGAGTGAATTGACTGATTTACTTAATATAGCTATAACTTTAACATTTTTTGATGAAATGCTTTGAAACTCATAACATAAGGATATATCAAAAGTGTTAATAATATGACACTATCAAATTAGGATGAACTCACGCGCATGCACGTGCGCCTTCCTCTGATTGGCTGAAACAAAAATCTCAATATCTCTTTTGTTTTCCGACGAAATGCTTTGAAATTTTTAACATTATCATGAATTAGGATATCCTACAATATGATATGGAAAAAATTTCACGAAATCACGCGCATGCACGTGTGCTGCAATCTGATTGGCTGAAACTTTAAATGGCTATATCTCCTTTATTTTTTGGCTAAATGCTTTGAAATTTAAAACATAGTCATGCATTAGGATATCCTGCAATATGATATACAAAAAATTCAAGAAATCACGCGCATGCACGTGTGCTGCAATCTGATTGGCTGAAACTTTAAATGACCATATCTCCTTTGATTTTTGACAAAATGCTTTGAAATTTAAAACATAGTTATGCATTAGGATATTCTACAATATGATTTAGAAAAAAAATCTTGAAATCACGTGCATGCACGTGTGTTGCAATCTGATTGGCTGAAACTTAAAATGGTTATAATTCCTTTGGATTTCAACCAAACAGGATGGGATTTAGAACATAGATAGATATAAGGGCCTCCTACAAGAAGGTATGGTCATCACGCACGTGCATTCACATGGGCACGCGTGCAATGTTAAAATTTGAATATAATTGGTATCCTTTTGGAAAAACGTTGTTAAAGTCAAAAATGCACAGATGTTGTCTTATTTAATAAGGTTTACAGGGAATATGGCACCAAAAGGGAGCAGGGGAGCGTTTGGGGAACATCTGTAACGGTTCCCGTTACAATTAGCACTAGTTTCTATATGTACTCTTAATGGTAGTCTCATGTGTTATCATACATGTTAACCTATTGTGATGAAAAATAGGGAGATTTGGACCACAAAAGCGGTAGCATTGCGCGCGTTGTTTTACGGTTGGATTTATGAAGATATATTGCATGTAATATACATGTATGGCCTTAAATGAAAATACAATTATTAATCTTAAATATCTATTGCAAAGAAATAGACAGAAACACATTAAGTTTGACAGATATTATACATATTCAAATTTTTTTATGTTCATCATTTTGTTTCCATTTGCTACTTAACTTAGCCTTTTAAAGAGTGATCTTTTCTGATATAGCCTAGAAGCAATAATTCTGAATGCTCATTCAGTTGTCAAACACAACAAATGATGACAAAGTTTAATCTAGATCTAAAACAAGTCCTTATCTTTCGTTAAATATATCGGATTTCCCGCGATTATCGAAAACGAAAGTAGAGATGTACCTCATGGTTTGGTCAATCGAGTGATTTCTATTGACTTTATTGAAATAATTGCGAGCTCCCGTGCTTTTATAGACGATGTCAAACGTTTTCATACAATTCTAAAATGCTGTATCTCCTTTTTCATGGCAATAATGTCGACGAAATTTATCGTATCCAATGTAATCACTGATTAATGTAATGTTGTCGTTGTCAAATACGTGCTTGAAATCTATGTACACATCGTTACAAAAAAAGCGTTTGTATGATTCCGGGTTAAATCAGGAGATATCTAACGAGATTTCATGACGAGTGGCTTCAAAAATGGATACCCAAGCGAACCAAAAATACTTTAGACAAAACTTTTGTAGAAAAGCGGTAGATTTACGAGTAAAATCGGTAGACGGGAGATGGAGTAAAAAAGCGGTAGACTCCCGCCTAAATCGGTAGAGTTAACATGTATGGTGTTATTACATCTCATTAGCCCAACGTTTTTGTATACATGTAAGCTTAATGCAGGATAAGATATTTAGAGCTATTTGTTTTTAGACTGGTAACGAGAGCAGTGTGGACAGATTGATGAAGCAGATTTCCAGTTTTATGAATGAAATCTCGGATGAATTCAAGATAGTTGTTGTACAGGCCATTCAGTAAGTTCTCTGTAGCAAACATAGTTAAGATCATCACAAGACATTATTGTCACTTGGAGTGAATATTTGTCAATTTTTTCAATAATTAGGATTCAAGTACCTAGAACAGATGTATTTATTGTCAAAGTGTAAAATAAGTTATTGTGTGATTTCTGCAACAAAGTTTTTCACTATATGCAAGATTCATGTAGTTGTTTTTAAAATCTATTTTGTTAATTTTAATTTTTTTTAAATTCTAGATCACTGTGTTTGAAGTTCCCCAGAAAGCATAATGTGTTGATGAACTTTCTGTCTTCCATGCTAAGAGATGAGGTAAAATTAATTCCTTAAATATTTTTCATCCTTATAAAAAGTAACAATAAAAAAGGATTTAATGACTGTAAATTGTTGATATCTTGTTAACAATATTGAATTGTAGTTAACATCTTATTTCATTGAATTTGGAAATCTTGATTTAAAATGTTATGTATAGGGAGGATTTGAATACAAGAAAGCCATCTGTGACAGCATCATCACAATCATCGAGGAAAATGCTGATGCCAAAGAAGCTGGTATGACATTTTTCTATAAAATTCAAATATCTTTTTATGGAAAATTTAATCAGTTTCTCTTCAATTTAATCATGGTAAAAGTTCTTGAGATTCCTATGGTTCTGTTTGTGTATAGGTTTGGCCCACTTGTGTGAGTTTATTGAGGACTGTGAACACACTGTACTGGCCACCAGAATCTTACACCTGCTGGGGAGGGAGGGACCCAGAACCCCCACCCCCTCCAAGTACATCCGCTTTATCTACAACAGGGTCATCCTGGAGCATGCCCCAGTCAGAGCAGGTAACATGGAAAAAATATATATCTATATAGCACAAAGGTATGTTATTTTGGAGAGGAATTATTAAAAAAATCAATTTTCAAGTTGCATTTTAGAATGATTGATAATATATTGTAAGGGGCAAATAAGACCAGTAAATATGTATCACTGGTTTGCATATTGAAGTATAATGAAAAGACTTCATTTGAAAATGATAGAAAGAGCTTCTAATGAAAAAAAAAATTGTGAAATCTTTTCCAGCTGCAGTATCAGCTCTGGCCAAGTTTGGAGCCCATTGTGAGGAATTATTACCTAGCTGTATTGTACTCTTAGAAAGGTAGGCATATTCTTTTCTTATTAGTCTTCTCATGCTATGATTACTGCCTTTGTGTTGTGTAGACTGATTGTATACATTAGCTGATATTTGAGTAAGAGATGTCTGTCCTTTTATAGGTAAGTTTAACTTTCCCTCTGTTTACAGGTGCCTGTTGGACACAGATGATGAAGTTCGAGACAGAGCCACCTTCTATGTTCAAGTCCTCCATCAAAAACAGAAGGCTCTTAACTCTGCCTACATACTCAATGGTAAACATCTGATGAAAGATTTAAATATTATTGTCCAGTTTTAACCTCATTTGCATAAAATTTGGCTTTTGTTAGGTGCGCTTTTTGCTGGATCATTGCCAATGAAAACTTTTTTTTCACAATTTAACATTTTTTTGAGTGTATCATGTAAAATGTAAAAAAAAAAAAAGGTTTTGGGTAACTATCCTTTGTATTTTTGTTGTTGAGAAATTTTTAATACCATGAAAATTTTTAACTTTGTTTTGATTATGAATCACCCTAAAACAAATCTTCATGAGTTGATGAGCTAGCCCCGGGTTCTGTTTTAATTGCAGGTTTACAGGTGTCTGTAGTCGGACTAGAGAGAGCCCTCCACCACTACACATTGGAGCCCTCAGAACAACCATTCGACATGAAGTCTGTACCACTGGAGACCACACCTATCACAGAACAGAAGGCTGGTAAGGAATATTAGTGTACAAATTGTTCATGGATAAAAAAATGATTTAATTTCTAATCTTTCTCTTGCTCTTTAAAAGGAAGCAATACAAATTCTTATAACTGAAGATAATCCAAGCTTAAATCTCCAGAAAACACAAATGTTATTAAAACGAATTCTTTCATAATTTTTTTTTTTTTTGGAAAATCACTGCATTAAATTGTTTCATTTTCTGAAGAGTAATGAATTTAAAATATCCTTGTCTTGACAGTGAGGGAGCCAGGTGAAACGGCGGCACCTAAAGCAGAAAAAGTGGCAGCTTCCAGACAAGATGTTTACGCAGGTAAGGGGAGGTCATTCTGTAACTGTTCAGAAATCGTTGCAATACGCCTCCATTAATGTTCAATTATAAATCAATGTAACAGCTGAAAAATTTCAAGAACAGGGAGAACCATGCCTTCAATAATTCAGTCTGTTTACGTTTATACGTAAGATATTCAGTTGTGAATGCAGAGATTGATGCATTTAATTACAGAGCAACTGAGAGCCATACCAGAGTTTGCTAATCTGGGGAACTTGTTCAAGTCGTCGTCTTTGCCCGTGGAACTCACAGAGTCAGAAACAGAGTATGTGGTACAGTGTATCAAACACACCTTTGGACGATACATTGTATTCCAGGTACTGGGTTTTATTTTTTTATTAGCTCTACTGGTCAGAGACCAGAAGAGCTTATGCTATAGTAATGCGTCCGTCGTCCGTCCGTCTGTCCGTCCGTCTGTCTGTCTGTCTGTCTGTAAACAATTTTTCAAAATGCTACTCCTCCTACAGTTTTGGTCAGATTTCAATATAACTTGGCACACAAGTAGACTATACTAAGATACATAATTCTGTGCATCGGTTTTTGATTTTTATTATATACCTAATGTGTATCACCCAATTTTACTGTTGAATTTACGCTATCACGTGACGTCATGATCTGATTTTCCGGATCACCAACATGTTGTTTTCTGAATCCATATCACCACTCTCTGAAACTGATGACGTAGTACGCAGAAATATGACGTTTTTTTTCTTGCGCGTTAAAAAGTTCCTTGTTATTTTGCTTTGTTTTATGGATGAATGTTATGCAGTTGATCTCTAAAGTTTTCTTTTGCTATATTTTGCTAGTTGTGAGGGGGTATATAATAAAGGATGACTGCACTTAAGGAAACTTAGAAATTACGACATAATTAATTATAAAAATGGGCATTTTTCTTTTAATGGTAGAAATGGCTAACGTCTTAACCGCAAATTTGTGTAATTGCGTTAATTAAAAGTTCATTTCAATATTTCCACTTACCTGCCTCCTTAACTATTTGCAATTTCCCTCTAGTTCCCCATACAATGCGTCGATCTATTTTTAGAGTAATTACGGTATCACCTCCAGTTATCCCCCTTAACTATAACTCTTCAGTTTTCTCTCGACGCCATATTGGACATGCTGTTTTCCTCATACAGTGCTAAATAAAGTTTATATTGGCGTTAGGGCTGGGCAATAATATCGATATTTCAATATATTGCAATACAATGACAAAAAATATCGTATCGCAATACGATTTTGTAATATCGATATATTGGCAATATGCTTAGATTAAGGAATTTTGTCATTAAATATAAAAATGGACTTTATGAAAGTTTGTTATAACCCAAACAGTAAGTCAGAAGTTGTTTTGTGGGAACATTTCAGAGCATAACTAAATGAAATCAACAAGATTTTTTTTCGTGTTAATGGTTACTTATCATAGTTATGTACATTCTGCATGTAAATTAAAGTAAATGTAGTAAGAAAATGCCGTTTTTGTTACATTGAAAATATTGCAATACATATCGCAATACAGTAAGACAGCAGGTTGAATTGTTACTTAAGCAAAAGAATGTTGATGAAAATTTTAATGAGCAACATCACGTATCGCTATCGGCCATTGCAGCAAGTGAGGCAAGGTTGACCAGAGGAAATGAGACCACCACTTCCAAAACGGCAACCATAAGTAGACCTCATTTTGACAAGTTTAAGGCTTATGATGAACAGATGTCAGCCTTTGAGTCCAGTGTTGCAGATGTGTTGTCTGTTAATGCACGAGATAATGATTTTGAGGATATAGAGTCAAATGCATCATTTGGTGGTTTGTGTACCAATTCAGATGCGGCTGTAGAGGTGCCTTTTGGTGCACCAGATTCTTCTGATCCGCTACAGTGGAATGGTTTTGTTTCAAAGATGGCGAAAGTACTCAATATTGAGTTTGAAGCTGAGGATCCATTGGAAAATGAAAGAAAATCTTTTATTTCTTCGCGATTGAAAGGGGACAAGGGTGACAAGAATAAGTCTCTCCTTAAAATGCCTATTGAAGGCACACTCATTGATATGATTAAGACAGTTGAGAAAGAAGCTACTTCTGGACATTTGAAAAATAGGTCAGTCCGTGGCAGGGATGATAAGGCATTTATGGTTAAGAAGGATGACTTTGATGCCTTTTGTAGTCCTCCAAAGTTGGATGACAATATTGAGGAGGGATTAGTGGTAGGCCAGAAGGGGAGTTTTGGAAAATCCAAAGTGAATCTTTCTCCCTTTCATAAGGAGTTAGACAATGACTTTCGGCGAATTGACAAGAGCCTTATTCAGAGCCATTTCATATGGCACTATGATAGCAGCTTTCTTAGATGAGGCTGAATGTGAGGATGATCGAGTCGAAGGACGTAAAGCCCTCATCAACTGTTTCAGAAGCATGGCTGATTTGACCGCAAGAGTGATGGCAAATTCAGTCTTGAGTAGAAGAAAAGTTTTTCTTAAAAATGTAGATTTTATAAGCAAGGCAACAGAGAAAAAATTGCTGAAACTGCCTATTTTTGGCAACCAGTTGTTTAATGGACAGTATTTTGAATCTCTCCATACATCTGCAGAGAATCTACGAGATGCTAGAGAAACCCAAAATGTTTACAATACATCAAAGGGTTATAATAAGAACTACAAGAGTAGAGAAAATAGGAACTCTACCGAGTTGAGCAGGAAGAGGAAAGCAGATGTCAATGAGACCTCTGCTCATTCTGCAAAAGTCACTAAATCAAGTGAGACTATTAATGCCTTTAGTTCTGATCACAGCAAGGACAATTTTCATTCAGGACAAGGGAACAGGAAAAATTCTTTTTCCAGGCGAACCTTTGGGAACCAGAAAGGGTTTCCAACTCCAAGGAAGTGAATCTCGTAAACAGCCAGTCTGTAAATATGTTTCCCCAGGTAGGGGCACGTTTGCTAGAATTCCACAGGAAGTGGACTGTGATCACACAGGATCAATGGGTGATGGAAACCCTAAGGGAAGGGTTAAAATTGGAATTAATGATTCAACCCTCTGTAAATATCAAGGAAACACGTGTACCAAGATATGGTATTCACGAGTCAGTTATTTTAGCAGAAATAAACATGTTGTCAGAAAAAAATGTTATAGAACCTGTGCCTGCCGGGCAAGAAAGCGACGGGTTTTACAGCACCATTTTTGTGGTGCCAAAGAAACAAGGAGGACTTCGGACAATTCTAAATCTAAAACCTCTAAATCAGTTAATAGTGCCTCGACATTTCAAAATGGAAACATTGTGTTCTATAATGAAAGCAATGAAAAAGGGGGACTTTGCAATCTCACTGGATTTGACCGATGCCTATTTCCACATTCCAATTCACACAGATTTCCAAAAATTTCTAAGATTCAAATTTCTAGGCCAGAGTTACCAGTTTCGAGCGATGCCATTTGGACTTCGTTCAGCTCCAAGGGTCTTCACAAAAATAATGGCAGTGCTAGCGGCACACTTAAGAAAAATGGTCATCCAAATTTTCCTGTACCTAGACGATTGGTTGATGATCAATCCAGACAAGAGAACTCTGCTTCAACAAAGAGACTATGTGTTACATCTCGTTCAGGAGCTGGGATTGTTAGTGAATTGGGAAAAGTCGTCTCTAGTGCCATCCCAACATATAGAGTATCTGGGAGCACATTTCAATCTGGTAGAGGGCATTGCGACACCTACAGAGTCCAGGTTTCAGAGTATTTCAGACATAGTGCAGACTTTATCAATAAGTCAACAAACTCAAGCAGTAGTTATCCTCAAATTGTTAGGACTGATGGCTTCATGCATATATCTTGTTCCGATGGGAAGGCTACACATGCGTCCTATACAGCTATACCTGTTAGCAATGTGGAGACCAAAGATTCACCCTCTTACTCATGTGATAGTGATTCGGCCAATCCTAATTCAGCACCTTCAGTGGTGGATAAATCGGGAAAACTTTTTCAAAGGAATGCCTTTACAGGATCCACCAAGTCAACTTACATTGATAACGGATGCCTCAGAACAGGGTTGGGGAGCGCATCTGGAGAACTGGGAGACGTCAGGGGTATGGCCACAGCAATATCAACAGAAGCACATCAATTGGCTGGAGCTAAAGGCAGTACAGTTAGCTCTTCAAGAAGCTCTGTTTTTGATCAAGGGAAAAGTGATCCTTATACGGTCAGACAACACAACAGTGATAAGCTATATCAACAAACAAGGGGGGACACACTCACCAGAACTGTGTTATCTAACTTGGGAGTTGTTCCAGTGGTGCATGCAGAACAACATTACAATACGAGCTGTTCACATTCCAGGGAAGAAGAATTTTCTTGCAGATGCACTTTCCCGGGGGAAAATAGTTAGAATGACAGAATGGTCACTCAACAACACTGTTGTAAATCTATTGTTCCACCAATTAGGAACTCCATGTATAGACTTGTTTGCAACTGCGCAAAACAAGAAGTTACCAGTCTATTGCTCCCCGTTTCCAGACATCAATGCTTTTCAAGTAGATGCTCTAGCGATCAGCTGGGAAGGGATTTATGCTTATGCATTCCCACCACCTATTCTTGTGCCCAAAGTCTTGCAGAAGATACGGGAAGAGCAAAGTGTTGTACTTCTCATTGCTCCAATGTGGCCCAGGCAGTCATGGTATCCTCAGGTAATACAGTAAAACACGGTTATAGCGAAGTCTTGGGGACCTGTGAATTTAATTCGCTATATCCGTAATTCGTTATATCCGTATAACGAATTCGTGTAACCATACATAGCGAATTCGCAATATGAATGTTTTCGTTCAAGTGTTACTATCAAATATGTTAGGGAAGCAAATGTTACAAAACATACCTTCGATAACTAAGGTTTTATTATGAAATGAATTTCATATACAAATGCTGAGAGAAAATAAAGTCAGTTCCATTATTCAAATTTTGAAATCTTTGAAAGTTCGTTATAAAAGATGTAAAATTCATTATATTTAACCTCAACGGGACTCAAAATCAGTTCGCTATATCCGTAAATTCGTTATATCAGAGTTCGTTATAACCGTAAAATTTTACAAAGATTTGTTAAGAATTTTGCCGGGGACCCAGAAAAACTTCGTTATATCCGTGAATTCGCTATATCCGTGTTCGCACTAAATGTGTTTTACTGTAGATCTTTTGATTGATCTACCAGTCAAATTACCACTGTGGCCAGATCTTCTGTCTCAAAATCACAATCAGATCTTTCATCAAAACCTAGAAACTCTCAATCTTGTAGCATGGAAACTGTCAAATTGCAACACAAGTCAAGAGGATTTTCTGAAGAAATTGCAGAAATTATGGCAAATGCCAGAAAGACATCTACACAAACGGTTTATGATGCAAGACTCAGAATATATAACAGTTGGTGTAAAGAACAGGGTGTCAATCCCATTACAACATCTATACCAGAGTTAGCACAATTTTTTATGTATCTTTTCAATGTGAGAAAGTGTAAACCACAGACTATAGCTGGATACAAGTCAGCAATAGCGATAGTTCATCAGCATGGGAGCAGTATTGGTACAAGTACTGAACTTTCATCATTGTTGAAAGGCTTATTTAATAAACACCCTTCTGTACGTCAGTTGACACCGAACTGGAATTTACCACTGGTTTTGTTAACTCTCACAAAACATCCCTTTGAACCACTAGAGTCAGCCGATCTCAAGTTTTTGACTCTTAAAACTGTTTTTCTGGTAGCCATAGCTTCTGCTTCCAGAGTGAGCGAGATTCATAGCCTCACTTTAGATGATGGTCACTTTAGAATGGAAAGGAAAGGGATAAAAATGTTACCAAATATGGAATTCCTGGCAAAGACTCAAACCATAAATAGACCATGGGACCCTATTTATATTCCTACATTTGATTCATTCGCCACAGATTCAGAGGATTTAAAATTGTGTCCTTGTCGTGCATTGAAGATTTATATCAATAGAACTAAACCTATTCGGAAGTCAAATAGGTTATTTGTGACCTACCAACAGAATAACCACAAGGAAGCATCAAAAGACACTATTGCAAGATGGATAGTTAGCATGGTTCGTTTTGCATATGATAATGCAGAAGCTGCAACATTAAATCTGGTTAGAGCACATGACACTAGACAGTTGTCAACTTCCTGGGCCTTGTTCTGTGGTGTATCTGCAGAGGAGATTTTACGGGCAGTACACTGGGCATCTGAATCTACCTTTACATCATTTTATCTGAAAGATGTTCCAGATCATCAGTCCATTTTTGCCAAGGCAGCAATTTTGGACTCGTCAAGGAGAGGGAAGCAAAAATAGGTAATTATGTACCTTTTATTAGAGCTGAAACGAATACCATAAATCAACATTCGAATATTCGTGACTGTTATTCGATTCGTATTCGAACATTCGGTAATTAAATAAAATAGTTATAATGCCTTTTCATATACTTGCAAATCTTATTGTTTATTACTATATATCAATGTATAAGATAGGTGTAAGAAATAAACGTCTGCTCAAAGCCATTTGACATGTAAATGTGCATTAGGACTCGCATTTATTTTCAAGAAAAAAAAATAGATAAAGAATCTTTATCAACAATTATAAGCCTCTTTATTTCTTTAAATTACGTGACTGTATTGCATTCCGATTACGTTAAACGCCCGATCAGCAAACCAGCAGGTACTCGCCATTTTTTCTGTTATAAAAATTTACAAAAAAAACGGTTCGTTTCCGGAAGCGTCCTGTGAATGTTTTAATCAATATTTAAATTTAAAATATAACATTCTCAAAAAAATATACCGGTAATATAATGTATATTTTTCATATATGATTTCTGCAATTATTTATAAATTTATAAATCTGATCAATATATTCCGTTTGTTGATCCGGAATATTTCTCTCCGCACAATTTAATTTTTTTTTATTACTTTCGAAAATCATGGCGGTCAATGTCACCCATATCTAAATTAATTCTGAGACACATGAGGTTGCTGAATATTTGGCTTGAAGATGATTAAATAAATCTGACATCGTGTCTTTATCAGGCCAGTAGTACCACGTGGACAAAGTTTACAACCCGTCTTATACATGTATTTGCTTTCGTTTGCTTCTTTTTCCACAGGGATCAATAACAAGTGGATAGGCCTACACCATTTATTGCATGAAATACATTGTATTAAACATGTGACCGAATATTCGAATACAAATTTTCCATTCGAATATTCGCGAAAAACTATTCGTTCGCGAATGTTCGAACATTCGTTTCAGCTCTACCTTTTATGTACTTTTTATGTACTTTTGTCATTTAATTTTCCTCTCCCACCTCCAAATTGGGCTGCAAATTCCTTTGCAAA